TTCAAATGCTGCTGTGTATATTGTTCCGGGCATGTGCCATTCCCAGGGAGACTGATCAGAAGATCTCTGCGACCGACAGAGTTATTGGGTGTCAAGTAACTTTTGTCTCCTTCTAGAGGGATTTAGCCCAGCCCTGAACTGTGATTTCAGAGTCCTACCGGTATATATGTCCATCCATAGCTTTGACTTTCTGACTGGACATTGAGTGTTCCCTTGTCATCCCTAGAACAGAAATGTGAGATGAATCATGGGGCAGGTCATGTCTAGTGTTTTGGTCCAACCTAGGGTTGCTTCTTTTCGGTCCTGCTGGGCATGTTGTCAGGTCTTACTCTCTGCAGTGCTCACAGGACCAGTGGTGCTGGGCTTGGCCATGGGGTGTCTGTGTAAGGCTGGCACCTCCAGAAACCTTCTAGTGTAATCCCCTCACATTGCTGCAGACCTGGCTGCCTTCGACTGATTTCCTAGGCCAGTCAGCCAGGAATGTGCATGGAGGCTGGTTTACCCCAAGGGAGAAGGGAGATGTCCTGAGTCCCTCTAGTGCCCGTCTCATGGCTGAGAAAACAGAGTGGTGACTGACACTGTCTCCCATCTCCTTTGTCTGTCTGCTCAGGACACAGTGACCTTCTCTGATGTGGCCGTGAACTTCACCCAGGAAGAGTGGATGTCCCTGGATGCCTCTCAGCAAAAGCTCTACAGGGAAGTGATGCTGGAGACTTACCAGCACCTGCAGGCTGTCGGTGAGAGCCTCATGGGGTACACCCTGCCAGCACAGACCTCCTTGCACTCCTAGGGTGTGGCCGGGTCTGTGTGTTTAACAGGGTCCATGATCTGAATAGTTCCTTCCAGTGCTAAATCAATTTGATTCTTGTATTACACACAACTTCACTGTGTTTGTTTTGGTTTGACTTTGGGGCCAGGTACACATTCCACCTGACTTTGTGTTAAATGATCATTTCTCGGAATGCTCAGGGACCCTGGGGCTGCTGACAATTGCACCCGGTTGCCAACTTCAATGGTCAGAGCATTACCCCCCAGCATAATTGTACCATGCCATCAAATTCAAGAGTTTCAGTTTGTTTTAGTTTGGTTTTGGAGTTTCATCTGGGAATGGTCAGGTATTACTCCTGTCTGTACTCTGGGAGCATCTGGGCTGCAGGGGATCAATCCCTTATTTGTGCATAGCACAGGTGTCCTACCTGCTGTAATATCTCCCTCAACACAAGTTTGTTTATTTCTTAGAATTTTACCCATCAGGTCCTGTTCTATTTCAGTGTTTGGGGTCACTTCCAGTATTTCTTGGGAGACTTTAGCATGACTCATGGTTTGCTCTTGGGCTCTGCTTCAGGGATCACTCCTGGCTGGATCAGGGAACCTTATGGGATGTTGGGGATCAAAGTTGGATTGACCATGACCAAGGCAAAGGTCCATCTGCTGCACTCTGTCCGGATATGTTGATTTTTGAACATTTTTTAAATTGGGGGTCTTGCCATCTTTGTCTATTTTTGGGTTTTATTTTGCACATGAGCTTACTGCACTCAGTTTTAGAGGGGCTCAGGAAACCCCATATGGTATTGTAATGTCTGTCCATTTTGGGGTTTATTTTGCTCATGAGTTTACTGCACTCACTTTTAGAGGGGCTCAGGAAATTCTAGATGGTGCCAGCACAGAGAAATAACTACAGAGGAGAGGGCATTTGTCTTGCAGGAAGTTGAGGCAGGTTCAATCCTTGGCTTCCCATGTTGCCACTGAAAACCACCTGGGTCCTGAGTACAGATCAGGAGTAACCCCTGAGTATCTCTGGGTGTGACCCTGATAAAGTTACATACGGTGCTTGGACCAAACACATGTCACCTATATTTTCCTTGCCCTCCTATTCACTCTTAAATGGAAACCTGGGTCCTACATCTCTGATAGCAATTTGCAGCATATCAAAATGGAGATTCTGTTTCATGACTTTTGAGGAATTTGCCACATTTCGTAGGGAAATGTGCCATTAACCTGTTGCTTTTTCCTTGTCTAATCCATGCCTCTGTCTCTGTGGGGACAGGGCATTCTCTGGTGAAGCCTGCGGTGATCTCCTGGCTGGAAGTAGGAACCCAGAGGCTGGGGAGAAGAGGCATGTGTTCAGGTGAGTGTCTGAGGACCCTCCATGGCTTAGGGGCTGACCAGTGTGTGGGTGCCTTGAGCAGGTGTGAAACATGCAGTTGTTTCCGGGAATTCGGGCTCCTGAATCCAGGTGTCTATGCTGCAATCACTATGCCATTCACTCCCTTGGACTTTGAGTCACAGAATGACTTTGTCATTGTTTTTGCTTTCTGGCTTTGTCTGTTCTTCATCTATTAAGCATGTAGACTAGCCCATGGGATTCATGACCGTTTTGACCCTCGTCTGTGACCCTTTGCCCTCTCTGTCTAGCTAAATTTGACCTCGGATCATCAGCGGTTGTCAAATGTAGTTTCCTGACTGTCCTCCCGTTACTTGTGGCAGTGCTCAGGGATCAGCCTCACAGAAGACAAATGCAATAGAAGGGAAATGCAATACCTGCTGTTCTTTCTCCAACCCACTAAGAAAAAAATTTTTTTCTTTTATGTTCAAATTATGGGGCCAGAGAGATAGTACAATGGGTAGGGCATTTGCCTTGTACACAGCCACCCGTGTTCAATCCTCAGCATCCTATCTGTTCCCCCATGCACCACCAGGAGTAATTTGTTGGTGCAGAGCCAGGAGTAACCCCTGAGCATCGCCGGGTGTGACTAAAAAAGAAAAAAATTGTGAATAGTTGAGCCCAATAACTACGCTAGATTGGGCCGGCGCTATAGGACAGTGGGGAGGACACTTGTCTTGCGCTCAGGTGACCTAGTTTCAATAAAGAAAATCTTGTATGATTCCTCTAGTGTTCCTGAGTCCAGTCTAAAAGCAAAGCCCCAAGGGTTAGTGTGTGATTGCCAAGCTCCTCACGGTGATCCTCTAAATGAACCCCTTTTCTCTGAACCTGTTTGGAATATGAAAACCATAGAGATGTCCTCCACTTGCTCTGCCTGTTCAGGTATGTTGCATTTGACTAATTCTCAGGTTTTGGATTGTGTTTGATTTCAGAACTCCAACCGCAGCTTCAGGATGTGGCACTGCGACAGTTTGATTTGGGAAAGAGCTCATCAAATAAGTGTGAACTGGTAAGATTCACACATGTAAAATAAGTATTTTTTATGCTGGCTGGAGAGCTCAGTGGACCAAGAATAGGATTAGAAAGGTGGGGTTTCAGGCTCCATCCTGCCACCATGTTTCCAGTCTCTGGATATGAGAGACAGGAATTCGGAGCCTAATTCTGGGAGTAAAGGGCCCATAGCCTCAGTGGGGATAAATTCAACATGTTCAAAAACTAAAGAAATTCCTATTCTTTTTCACGCTGATGAAATACTGTGGCTTGTTATTTGATAGAAAGTAAGCGAAAGTGTTAGATTGTTTCAAGGAACTGGTTTGTAGACCCTCCTTAACATGCAGTGGAAAGGACGCTTGCTTTGCCGGGGATAGGAATCTGGGTTTCCAGCACATATGGTCCCCAGATCCCCAGCAGCATTGGGCCCTGAGGTCTCCTTGGTGTGGCCCACCCCCAAGTAAATACAAACAAGAAAACAAAACGAACAAAAATGTCATTGATGCTAAAGAGGAATCCTTATGTGGCCCCTGTAAGGCATCCAGCTGTGTGGAATGCAGCGTTGCCTTCGCCCATGCATCTGGGGTTCTACACTGATCTAGAATTGAACCCAGACTTCCATCTCTTATTTTTTCTGGAAACGGGTACTTCGGTTTTCTGCAAAGAGAGTTATTTTCACTTAATATGTCTGTTCATTGAGATGAAAATAATTTACAGAACTTAATGACCCCCACATAGGTCAGTTTTGCAAGTAGGCCTTGCAGAAACATGACTTTCCATGGAAAATCCCTACACATGGTGGATTCGTGTGGTGGGAATGTCAGAAAGCACAACTTCCATGTTGGAGTTTAGTTCTAAGCTTCTGAGGTTTCACATTGGTTTATTCTTTCTCCCCCGCAGGGAACTTAGGTTAGTTGAGTTACACCCCACCCGGCATTCCCAATTCCTACAGAATTAATTGACTCCAAAAAATATTTCCTCTTGGATATTTATCATACGCACTTGGCTTAAGTCTCAGTTGCCCTTAGTTCCTAACACCCCAAAAGCTGGGTCGTAGCAAGGAACTTGGATGGATCCTGGCAAGCCCAGAGCTACTCTGGTTTCGAGAAAGGGACAGCCTAAGCGCCAAAAGAAGTATGATAAATTAAGAGCACGGTCATGGAACAAACTGACTGAAAAAAAAAAAACTGAATAAACTCCCTGTTGGAGTGAGGAAAAAGTAACCTGACTTGAAGTGTAGTGTGCGAAACATAGTGAGATGTTCCCAGGAAAAGCCACCCTTTCAGCTTGATCTAGGATCTGGATAAAAGCCTGTATTTCTTACTTTGCTCACACAAAATGACTAGAAATATTGTAAAGAAGTAGATTTCATATGATTGCTTAAGTGGATTACCGGCAAAAGGAAGGAGAAAGCAATACACTCTTAGATGGAATCCCGCGCTTTTCAGATCCCCTAAGAGGAATCTAGAGTGCTGGAGCCCCCAGATGATATTCTGTCCTTGGGTGTATGTCCTAGAGGGAATTCCCCTAAAAAGTTTCTTTACATTTCTTTACATTGTTTTTGTTATTGTTCCACCACATCTATGTGTAATTGCTGCCCCCTCAGCCTTCATGATTTCTCTTAATGCTGTGAGAAGAATTAACGGCTCCTGATTCCCAACCAACCATGGCCCCATTTATTTGTCTAATGGGCATGAGGGTCACTCATCAGTCCAGAAAGTACCAGAGGGCCACAGGATACCACAGGATGGTGAATCAGAACATGAGACTGCCGACTCAGTTATATTAGAAACAGTGACTCAATGAAATAGAGCAGTAATTGGAATCCTTCTCTGCTGTTCTACAGGGAAGCATCCAGCCCCAGTGGAATGCCTCTGATCCTGCTCACTGTGAAAAATTCTTGAGTGAGCAATCCTGCCTTCATCCATATGGAGATGGCGATACAGGCGGGATGTCCTCTGAGGGTGATTGGAAGGAAGAGAGTGACCTCGCTCCAATGAAGCTCTCCCCTGGGAGAAGCTCCACACAGTCTGTTCTGCTCAGACCTCGAGCCCAATCCCCCCCAGTAGCGCAGCCCATAGACCTTGGGAGAGGGGCACTGTTTATAGTTGGTCCTTCCCACCAACAGAACCATAAGCAAATTCCCTATGTACTGACCCCATCCAAGTGTAAGAATTGTGGGGGATCTTTCCCTTGTTCTCAGCATCCTGATGTTCCTTTAGAAACCTACAGTGGACAGAAATTCCAGCAATGTCAGCAGCGAGGACAAAACTTGAATCAAGGGTTACCCCATTGTGACCATATTCACATAAATGCAGGAGAGAAACCACATGTATGTGAAGAATGTGGGAAGGCCTTCGATCAATCTTCAGATCTTATTATACATAGGAGAATTCATACTGGAGAGAGACCTTATGTTTGTAAGGAATGTGGGAAGGCCTTCTTTCAATCAAGGTACCTTACTATGCACAGGAAACGTCATAGTGGAGAGAAACCTCATCAGTGTCAGACATGTGGGAAGGCCTTCACTTATCCCTCCTGCCTTACTAATCATATGAAAATTCATAGTGGAGAGAAGCCTTATCAATGTAAGGAATGTGGGAAGGCCTTTGTTAATTCCTCAGGCCTTACTAGTCATCTAAGAATTCATACTGGAGAGAAACCTTATGTTTGTAAGGAATGTGGGAAGGCCTTTTCTCAATCTGTCCATCTTAATAAGCACAGGAAAATTCATAGTAAAGAGAAACCTCATTTATGTCAGAAGTGTGGGAGGGCCTTCACTTTTGCCTCACACCTTACTAAACATATGAAAATTCATAGTGGTGAGAAACCTCATCAGTGTCATATATGTGGGAAGGCCTTCACTCTGTCCTCAGGTCTTACAACACATATGAAAATTCATAGTGGAGAGAAACCTCATCAGTGTCAGACATGTGGGAAGGCCTTCACTGTGAACTCTTCCCTTACTGTGCATATGAGAATTCATACTGGAGAAAAACCATATATATGTCAGGAGTGTGGGAAGGCCTTTAATAAATCCTCAAAACTTTCTCTACATAGGAGAATTCACACTGGAGAGAAGCCATATATGTGCAAGGAATGTGGGAAGTCCTTTGATTATTGCTCAGAGCTTACTCTTCATCTAAGAATTCATAGTGGAGAGAAACCTTATGTTTGTAAGGAATGTGGGAAGGCCTTTGTTAATTCCTCAGGCCTTACTCGTCATCTAAGAATTCATACTGGAGAGAAACCTTATGTTTGTAAGGAATGTGGGAAGACCTTTTCTCAATCTGGGCATCTTAATAAGCACAGGAAAATTCATAGTGAAGAGAAACCTTATTTATGTCAGAAATGTGGGGAGGCCTTCACTTTCCCCTCACACCTTACTAAACATATGAAAATGCATAATGGAGAAAAACCTCATCAGTGTCATACATGTGGGAAGGCCTTCACTCTGTCCTCAAGTCTTACATCACACATGAAAATTCATAGTGGAGAGAAACCTCATCAGTGTCACATTTGTGGGAAGGCCTTCACTCTGCGCTCTTACCTTACTCTGCATATGAGAATTCATACTGGAGAGAGGCCTTATGTATGTCTGGACTGTGGGAAGACCTTTATTTCATCCTCACCGTTGACTGTACATAGGAGAATTCACACTGGAGAGAAACCGTTTGAATGTAAAGAATGTGGGAAGGCCTTTTCTATGGGCTCAGTACTTAATGTGCATAGGAGGATTCACACTGGAGAGAAGCCGTATATATGTAAGGAATGTGGAAAGGCCTTTACTAGAGCCTCAAAACTTAGTCTACATAGGCGAATTCACACTGGAATGAAACCGTACATATGCAAGGAATGTGGGAAGGCCTTTTGTCAATCTCAGTACCTTACTAAGCACAGGAGAATTCACAGTGGAGAGAAACCTCATCAGTGTCAGACATGTGGGAAGGCCTTTGCTCTGCGCTCTTCCCTTACTCTGCATATGAGAATACTGGAGAGAAACCCTATGTATGTCAGGAATGTGGGAAGGGCTTCATGTTCCCCTCCAGCTTTAGTACACAGAAAAATTCATACTGATCTGATCCCTTAATAACAGTCCCTAAGGTTAGAACATGCCCGCTCAATAAAGCAAGTTTCCTTTGGACAAGAGGATCAGGTGTGCTACAAATGTGTGCAGCCAAGAGGAAACAAGCCTGCCTGCTTGGGACAGCCTTCTCTTCACATCAGTGAAAGGTACCTGCTGATTTTCACCTGGGCCACAGCTGTGCCAGTGTCCTGGTGCTTGGACTTACGTGTCTCCTTTTTCTTTTTCTTTTTTTTTTTTTTTTGCTTTTTGGGTCACACCCAGCAATGTTCAGGGGTTACTACTCCTGGCTTGCACTCAGGAATTACTACTGGCAGTGCTTGGGGGACCATATGGGACACCAGGGATCAAACCCGGGTCGGCTGTGGGTAAGGCAAACACCCTACCTGCTGTGTTATCGCTCCGGCCCCTGGACTTGCGTGTCTCTTAACTTGTAAATAATGGGTCTTGGCGATGGAAATCAGGAAAAAGTTGACTAAATAAACAGGTACAAAAACACCCTTTGCTTGGAGTTGTTTCAGCTCACCACTGTGTCATTGTTTGCTCTGACTCTGGCTTGGCCCAGAGGTGCTGGTTATTGGGAATTATTGCAGAAATCTACCACGATGCTGCACTGAATCATTTGAATGTGGAAAAACAGGAAAACCTTCATTCTTCAGGCCTTCCTGTGTTAGGTTTTGGGATGCTTGAACACCCTGTGCCTCCCTGTTTTGGAACTGTGAGCAGTAGGCCCCACCAGCTTCAGGAGTGCCTCTGCGTTTGTTTTTTACTTGTTCTGGATATCCATGTGGTTCCTGAGATGTGGCGGAGATTTTACGGTGATGCAGAGCTTTTGAGGGGTGTATTGGGGCCTGTTCCTAGACATAGGGGTTGTGGGTGTGAGTGTGTGATCCTGAGGGGCCCCTGCGGCCATGATCACCTCCAGGTCTGTGATAGGCAACAGAAGGTGGGCGTGTGGCTAAGCGCAGAGGCTGCTGGCCTTGGTGTAAGGAACCTGCAGAGGATGGGGGGCTTGGCCTACTCGGGATTGCACGCAACCCTGTCTTGGAGACTTTGGCCTGGACATAACACTTGTTGAAACTCTAGATATGTTCAGGGGCAGGTCGGCAGCCCCACAAAGGAATGGGTCACAGTTGCCCTGTGTCACTTACATTGGCTCACATGCTTGGGCAGGGCCATCAGGGTGTTCCGCACAAGTGAGAGTTATTTGCCACTGAAAATTTGCTCTTTGGAGTAGTTTCAGTAGCTTTTTTTATTCAGGGGTGTTGGAAGTGGTGAGAACACATTCCTCGAAGTGCAAGGCTTAATCCTGGCCTCTGCAGCTCAGGAATTATACTGGCAGTGCTGCTGGGGCCATATGGGATGCGGAGGTTTGACCTGGGTCAGCAAGGCAAGCATCCTAGCCGCTTTATGGTGATTTCGAACCCAATATTGTTTTTTTTTCTTATCAAGAATTTCTACTCCCCCCCCCCCCAAAAAAAAAGAATTTCTACTTTCTCATGTTCAATTGCAACCAATTGCCTTCTCTTTATCCCTCACTGACCAAGCCACTGGGGAATACTGGCTCTTAGAATGACTACATCAGTAAACGTTTTTTGTGTGTTTGTTTCCTGAAAGGAAGATATTTGAGTGTGGGGAAGGGGAGCTTTGTTCAGGGGTCACTCCTAGTGTGCTGGGACGAAATTTACTTAGAAATCGCCAGAGCCATATAACAGTGAGTAGCGTGCTTGCCTTATGTGGCCAACCCAGGAGTCCTACATCCACAACAGCTTTGAGTAGTAGCTCACTGGACATTGAGTGTCCCCTCTCATCCCTAGAACAGGGGATGTGGAGGTGTGGCATGGGGGTGTCTAGTGTTTTGGTCCAACCCAGTGTTGCTTCTGTTTTGGGTCCTGCTGGGTCTGTACTTGGTTGTTACTTTCTGCAGTGCTCACCAGAGCAGTGTTCGTTGGCTTTGTCCCAGGGGTGACTGTGTGCAAGTCCAGTACCTGTAGGAATTTTCTAGTATAAGTGTCATTATAGTAGACCTGGCTTCCTTCACCCTGAAATGTCAGTGGAGTCTGGTTCCAATGGGAGTGGGGAGTAGGGTAGGCCCTGAGCTCCTTGAGGGCGCTGGGGTATCACATCCTCAGGCCCCATAGGATGGGGTGTGATGGTCTCAGTCCCACCCCCTGTGTGTACCGGCTTAGGGCGTGGTGACCTTCCCCAATGTGGTCATGAGATTCACTACAGAGGAGTGGACGTGCCTGGATGTGTCTCAGAGGAAGCTCTACGGGGCTGTGATGCTGAAGACCTGCAGCACCTGTGGGCCGTGGGTGAGAGGTGCTGGGCCTGCTGCCCATGCCCAGAGAAATCCGTGTGGGCTTCTAGGGGCCGTGCGAGTCTGTGATTCAGATTGGCTGGAATGTTTGGAAAGCCATGCAGATAGCTTTCTCTACTTCCTTCCATTCTTTTTATTTTCTTTCTTTCTTTCTTTCTTTCTTTCTTTCTTTCTTCCTTCCTTCCTTCCTTCCTTCCTTCCTTTCTTTCTTTCTTTCTTTCTTTCTTTCTTTCTTCCTTTCTTGGGGCACACTGTTGATGCTCAGGAGATTCTCCTGATTCTACTCTCAGGAATCACTTCTGGTGGGCATGGAGGATCATACTGAATGCCCAATATCAAACCCGGGTCAGCCAAATGCATTCAACACCCTATGAGCGTTTCTTCCTTTACTAAATAAATTTACTTCTGGCTAAAGCCATTGTATGCCTCAGGTGTGGGGTAATTAAGGATTAAGCATGCAGCCTGGAGCGTGGAGCAGTTGCAGAGCCCTTAGGGCACTTGCCTTGCATTCTGCAGACTTGGGTACCTTCCCCGGTATCCCATAAGATCCCCCAATTATGCCAAGAGTCATTCCTGAGTACAGAACCAGTAGTCACCTCTGAGCATCGTCAACTGTGACCCCCAAAACATAAAAAAAGGAAAGAAATCAGAGCATCCGCAATCTGATGTCGGTAGATTCCTTCGGATGCAACCTTAATGGGGTACCGAGATGAATTTTGCTTCCACATCCCTCATTCTCACAGAATGGGAGGAGAACACCGTCAGAAATTTGGGGTGTCAGGTTGTGGGGTGACAATTACAGGAAACTTTCATTAAGTAGTTCAGCCAGAGAATAAACAGAGAGGGGTTAGAACTTGCCTTGCTCAGAGAGAGAACATAACATTTTAATTTAAATTTTTAAAAAACGAAAACTTGCCTTCCTTGTGGCAGATGAGGTTCAATCCTAGGCATTTCTAATGGTCCCCAGATCCTCGCGGGCCCACACCAAACCCCCATAAAAATTAAAAATCCTCAGAAGTGGGGCTGGAGCGATAGCACAGCAGTTAAGTCATTTGCCTTGCACCTGCCTGACCCGGGTTCAATTCCCTGCATCCCATATGGTCCCCTGAGCACCTCCAGAAGTAATTCCTGAATGCAGAGCCAGGAGTAACCTCTGTACATCGTTGGCTGTGACCCAAAAAGAAAAAAAATCCTCAGCAGAATTGGTGTATTTAGAATTTCCCGGGAAGGAGATCGGCTGCCAAGGCTCATTATTACCATTTTAAATAAAAGATCTACCTAACCCACCCCAAGTTCATCTGACTGCAGGTACCTTCACCCCAAACTTCTGGAGATGTTGGAGTTGAATCTGGCCTCTGCCATTCTCCTTATGGAAAACAGAGGACTTGGGGCTTTCCATTTGTATATGAATCCCAAAGTTCTCCTAGGAGTGAGAAAGGTACACTGTCAGACATGTGGGACGCTGATGTGTGGGGTGACGGGGCTGGAGACCTGTAAGAACAGGTCGGTTTGAAGCGATGGTACTGCGGGAAGGCACAGTCGTCTTCTGTGCTCACCCTGGGTTCCATATAGGGTTACCTGAGCTGCCCTGAAAAAGTTTGAGGCTGTGCACAGCCCACACCCTAAAACTTTTTCAGGGCAGCTCAGGTGCCTTCCCGCAGTACGATCTCTTCCAACCGAACTGTTCTTACAGGTCAAAAAAGGACTTTCTACTCCTCCCGTACAGGTGGTGGTCCATTTGGGGCCTGTCCCTCATATGCCTTGCTCGTTCGAGGCCAGGTTCAATCCTCTGCTCCCCTCGAGGTTCATACACAAAGCTAGGTCAACCCACTGACCCCCCCCCCCCCCAAGGAGATTCAGCTATGTATCACACAAAGATCGGAAGGCTGGAATCGAACCCAGCTTACTCAAAAGACAAGCACCCACAGGCTCTCCTACCACTGCAGCTGTGGAAGCCGCTTGCTTGATCCTTAATTGCCCCATACTTAACCCTTAACATAGTCACCCTTCACTATGGGAGGAACGGGAGGAAAACCCACTAGTAAGAAGGTTCTGGAAAATGTAGGGCAAGAGATCAAATCCTAGGCAGAAAATCCTTTCCCCACCCAGTCTAGTCTAAACTGAAGATCAGCTAGAGGTCAATTCACATGCTAATGGAGGCAGCCAGCAGGCTTAGCTCTAGGCAATTCAAGGGAAAAAGGGAAAAAAAGTGTAAAAGGCAGGTAAGAAGTTTGAGGAAGAAAGCCAGCCAGCTGGAAGCAATGGAACTAGTAGCAAGCTAAGAACTAGCAGAGCTTTTTCTCTTCTCCCCTCAAAGTAGCAAGGCTTCTTGGAAACCCAAGGCACTCTAAATATGGCTCCACATGCAAGCCGTGGTCATGTGGACGCTTGGGCAGGCCCCAGGGACGCCTGGGGTATTGGGCAGATCACTGATGGAGATGTCCTGGCTTGTGATTTTCTGACCCAGGATAAGCCAGCGTGCAGTTGTGGTCATGTCCGCGCTGGAACTCCTTAGAACCACGGCAATTCAGGCAGAAGGGGACGAAGCACCTTAGGAGAAATTACCAGGAGAGAAGTTTGCCAAGGAATCATCCTATTTTAGGATTTTTCCTTCCTTTTCATAGGTTATTGCTGGCACTTAGGAGACACGGGAAATTCTACATCAATTCCCAAATATTCTACTTTGGGTTGCTTATTGAAACATTGGAAGAACCTTCAGGTAGATAGTTTAAATAAGGAGTGTCTTGTTGACCTCTGTAACATCACGTGGCCTGAGTATACGCTAGAATGTGGGGAAAGATAGCCAGTGAATGGCAATTTGCATCAGCAGACCATTTTGCAGTCAGATTTTTTTTTGCAGGTAACAAAAGAAATAGAATTAGCAAAGCAGAGGAGGCAGGAAAATGCAAGATCATATTATTAACTGTTTGATATCAGAAAGAAGTGTGTCACTAAGGCAGCCTATCCCCATGTCTGATAAGAAGATACTGTGAGGGACAGGCCCAAAATGGACCACCAGAATTAATTTAGCTTAGCTTAACAGGAACCCGCATTGCAAAATAACTGGTTTTTCTTCCCCCGGGCAAGGAATTCAGATACAGGTGCCCCGTGTTGCAAGTCACCAGAAGGGTGGGGGTCAAACCAGATAACCAGATGTCTCTCACAAGACCCATGTCACAAGATCCAGGACTGCCTTAAAAACCAGGATGTTCCTAAGTACTGACGCAAACGCTGATCTTTAAACTATAGGCTAAGGAGTGATGTACTTTAAAATGGATTGATCAGAAAAGTATGAGTTATTACAAATCTATTGGCTATGAAATGCGCGGGCTCTGCTGTAACAGCCAAGGAAGGTCTATGTAAGATCTCCTTTGAAGAAGCTCGGGGTCTTTACCCAACCTGCCGGACCTGCGTGGTGGTTGGACCCTGGCTAGCCAGTCTTACAGTAAACCCTGCTTGCTGTTTGCAGTCTCTGGTGTCTCTATGTTGTTAAAGGGAGATTTCGATCTGCAACCTAAGATCCGCTCCCTAACAATACTAGCTCCCTGCTGCAGAACTAGCCTTGACCAATATATGGTAACATTTGACCACCTTAGGTTTCAACAACTTTGTAAAATCTTATTTTGCTGGCTTATATCAACAAAGGGCTGGAGCGATAGCACAGCGGGTAGGGCATTTGCCTTGCACGCGGCCGACCCAGGTTTGATTCCTCCAGTAGCCCAGCAAGCTACCCAGAGTATCCCACCCATAGGGTAGAGCCTTGCAGGCTACCCATGGCGTAATCGACGTTTACTGGTGCCTGTTCGAGCAAATCAATGAACAGCAGAACAGTGCTACAGTGCAACAGTGATAATCTGGCCCCTGCCACCTTCCTCCATGGAGAACAGAAGACATGGGACTTCTCATTTGTATAGGAACCCCAAAATTCAGGACGGAAGATGGCACCCTCAGCAATGTGGGGTGCTGTGATGTGGGGACCTGGGGTCTGGAGATCTTTAGAACCGAGTTGGTTGGAGACATCGCACTGTGGGAAGGCACAGCCTCTCCTGTGTCATCCTGTTTCCTCTGGGCAGCAGGCTCTGGAGCAGCGTCTGGGTGTGCCTCCACACAGAGAGTGAGTGGGGCGGGCCCCAGGCAGCATGGACACCCGAACACAGTTCACCAGTTTATTCTCTGACCCAAGGCCCAGTAGGGCATGGGCAGGGCCGGAAGATTCTGGATTCTCTCATCCCCTCCAGAACTTGGCAGGTGTAAGTGAATTGAACTCACCAGAGGCGGCCTACTCTTGACACACGGATCCCCGAGAATGAAGGCAGCACCACTGGGGTCCCGGGTCATCCCCCAACCCCACTCCACCCCACTCCACTCCACCTCCTGATCTGGCTACATGATTCAGGGGAGAGGGTCAGAGGCAGGGGTGGGGCAGCGTCTGGAGTTGGGCTGAGGTGGGGGGGCACACAGCTCCGCCAGGGGGTTCCACTTCCTTCTGGAATCCAATTTTGGTTCCCACAATCGGGGACCCCCCATCTGCCCGGCTCCTGCAAATGTCTTGGGAAGCCAACGAGCAGTCTACCTTGAACAGGAGGGAATCCAGTGGTCAACAAGGATGTCCGGAAGCACCAGATTTTGGGGGGGACAGGACAGGAGGCAGATTTGGGGTGTCTGTATCAGCTCCGAGCTGGAAGTCCTTTGTATGGGGTGCAGGGGTGCTAAACTTCCGGCTAAGCTTCTGCTGAGCCCCCAAGTGAGGAGGGGAGAGGTTTGGGGTCCCCCCGGGGCTAAAGAAGGAAGGAGATTCCTCTTGTCTGACCTTGAGGCAGTTGCAGGAGAAGATAAATAGGGCTGTTCGAGGCCTCAGCACGGGGCGGTGGGGGGGGGTGCGTCCCGTCTGTGCCCTTCTCCTGCGACCCCCGAGACTGTCAGCTACTGAAGCAGACGGGCCCCAGCTGGAAGCCGAACTTCTGGTCGGGCTGTCTGGAGCCGGAGGTCGCCACATCCAGAAGCGGCACAACCGGTCCCTGGGGGCGCTGAATTCCAGCAGGGTCTAAGCCTGGCCCTTCCGGAACTGCAGGGGTGCGGGCAGGGTGGGCCAGGGGCACGGCGCGCTGACATGAGGACCCCCTCCCCGCTCCGGGGACCCAGCAGCCATCCTGGGGGCCTGGAGCGCGACCGCAGCCATCTGGTTGGGCCCAGCTCCTGGCCCGCAGCCCCCCAAGTGCAGCACGCGGTCCTGCCCCCCCCCGCGGTCGCGTCCAGCCAGGCAGCCAAGTTCTGGCACAGGCAGGGGAAGGTCCGCGGGGCGCTGGGCTCAGAGGGGCAGGAAGGTCAGCTGTAAGCGGCTCACCGGGCACCGTTGGCATCCACGTAGGAGAACTGCAGGTGCCTGGGCAGGAGTCGGGGGTCAGCGGGCTGCCAGGGGCAGGGGACCAGATGGGATGCTGGAAATTAAATCTGAGTCGGCCACATACAAGGCAAATGCTGTGCCGGCTCTGCTATTGCTCTAGCCCCTTCATTATTTTTTTGGTTTGGCTTGTGTACCATATCTGGAGATGCTCAGAGTTTACTTTTGGCTCTGCAGTTGGGAATTCCTGTTGATGGTACTCGGGGATCATATGGGATGTCAGGAATTGATCTGGGTTGGCAACGAGCAAGGCAAATTCCCTTACCCGCTTTACTGTCTCTCGTCCCAACTTTTATGTCTTTTTTTCTAGGTCAAGAATTTCTGCTTCCTAAGGGCCAGTTGCAAAGAACTATGAGCACTGTTTCGTGTGACACTGTCCCAACATATAAACATAAACAAAAAAAATCCTCATTGATCCTGAGATTGATTCAACTAGGTTAGATGATTTCAATGGCCCCTGCATTCTCAGCTTTGTGGGGACTCAGCCTTGCCTTCATACATGCATCCCGACCTCCATATTGAGCTACAACCGAACCCAGACTCGGATGTATTTTTATTTGCTTGAAACTGGTGCTTCCTTTTTCTGTATAGAAATTATGTCCACTTAAGTGTGCTTCATTGAGTTGAGAAAAAAATGGACACACGTTAAAGACAACACTTGTGTCAATTTCCCATGTCCTTCTTGCAAAAATATTTGGTCATTCCAGGAAAAGCCATATATGTGTCGATGATTGTATTTGCATGGTGGAAACGTTAGACATTAAATCTGCAGGGTTCGACTTTTTTTTTGACATGGAGATCCTCAAGAAATCAAGAAATAATCGGAATCCTCCTCTGCTGTTCTCCAGGAAAGCAACCAGCCTCAGTAGAATGTCTCTGATCCTGGGCACTGTGACAGTCTCGAGTGAGCAGTGGTGCCTGCATCACTGTGGGGATTCTGTTACAGGCAGGAAGTCTTCAGATGGGAAAAGTCCCAGGACTGTTAGCAGCACGGACACAATTTGAGTCAGCCGCCACACAAGTGTGATCATCTGAATATCCACACAGGAGAAAAACTGTAGACATGTAAAGAATGTGGGAAGGCTTAGATCGATCCTTATACCTGATTATACATAGGAGAATTCATACAGGAGAGAAACGCTATTCATCCAAGGAATATGGGAAGACCTCAAGACTTGGTATGCATAGGAAAATTCATTTAGAGAAAACTTATTCATGTAAGGATAAGGAATGTTTGAAGACCTTTATTTCCTTCTCAGTGGTTTCTGTGCATAGAAAATTCATGTAGGAGAGAAACCTTACTCATGTAAGGACTGTGGGAAGACCTTTACTTTGTACTCAGAACTTACTAAGCACAGGAAAACGCACACTGAAGAGAATCCTTATATATGTAAGGACTGTTAGAAGGCATTCACTTACCTCTCACTCCTTATTACATATAAGAGCATTCATACTGGAAAGAATCCTTATGTATGTAAGGCAAGCAGGAAGGCCTACATTATGTCCTCAAGCCTTAGTGATCACAGAAAAATTCATATGGCAGACAGCTTACATATGGAAGGACTGTGGGAAGGCCTTCATTCAGAGTTGATGTCTTACTAAACAGAAAATTTCATACCAGAGAGAAAGCCCATACATGTTAAAAAGGCCTTTGCTCTACATTAAAACCTTAGTATGCATAGGAAAATTCATAGTGGAGAGAAGTATTACATATGTCAGGAATGTGCGAAGGCCTTCACTCAACCCTCAACCCTTACGATCCGTAGGGTTACGAACCATTACGATACATACATACTGGAGGGAAAGCTCATGTTTGTCAATGTAGGAAGGCCTTTGTGTGCCTCTCTAACCTTTGTAGTCATTGTAAAATGCACATGGGATGAGTTGACCCCGAAGAACTATCCCCAAGTTCAGAACAATGCCCCCAGGGAAGACACGTTTTATTTAGACCAGGAGGTTTGGGGGGCTCCAAAAGTGCAGCCCAGAAGCTAAGAATCCAGCATGAAAAGCTTCCCGTGACATCATCCTATATGGGAAAGGTACTCGGTGATTATCACCACGGCTATTGTTATGCCAGTGTCCTGGAATTTGAAATTCACATGTGTGTTAACTTGTAAATAACAGTCTTGGTGATGGAAGCCAGGAGGAAAGTGACTAAATAAGTACCAAATAGAAATGGGAAAAACCTCTTGAAGCAACAAAAGCTTTTAAAAATTAATGAGACAATCTTACCAACCCTACTACCAGATATAACAATGTTCATATGTATTTGTTTTCTCCACCTATTGATATTAATATTGCAAATTTGCTATCTCATAAGTTTTATTTATTGTTTTGGCCTTTTGTGTCACGTCTGGCGATGCACAGAGCCTAGTGGTGCTTGGGGGACCATTTGGGATGCTGGGAATCGAAGTTGGGTCGGCCGCATGAAGGCAATTGCCCTACCCACTGAACTATCGTTCCAGCCCTGTCTCATCAATTTTAATATAGAATTGTATCAACAATTGGTGTTTTCTTTTTCTTTAGTAAATGAAATAAATAACCACCCCTCACTCTGGACCGTCAAGGTTCTCTGCTGGACCATTCTTTGCTCTGATCTTGGCATGGCCCAAAAGCCCTGTTTTCTGGGGGGTTTTGGCAGAGACCAACCACAATGCTGAAGGGAATTGTCTTCAATAAAAAATCAAGGGCTGGAGAGATAGCACAGCAGGTAGGGTGTTTGCTTTACACGCGGCCGATCCGGATTCGATTCCCAGAATCCCATATGGTCCCCTGAGCACCGCCAGGAGTAACTCCTGAGTGCAGAGCCAGGAGTAACCACTGTGCATCGCCTGGTGTGACCCAAGAAGCAAAAATAAATCAGCCAAACCTTCATTCTTCAGGCCTTTCTGTGTTATAGGGTGCTGTGCTCAAGCCTTACACCTGGCTCTCAGCTCAGAGCTACATACCTGGGAAAATTCTCATATGTTGTGGAGCACTGAGGTTGGAATACAGGTTGGCGTATCTGACAAGCACCTTTTCCACTGTTGCATCTTTGCATATCTTGTATTCTGGGATTTTTGTATTTTGAAGACTCAACTCAGTATTGAGAATTTGTATTTCCAAAAATTATCATCTTAAGAAAATGTTCCTGGAAATCTTCTTTCATAAGGTGGATGGGAGACAGTTTTTATTGTGCATAGAAGAACTTGTATCAGTTTTTTGAAAGGGTGAAAGGGGTCCCTGGAGTGAGATATTTTACAAATGGTGGGGCCATGGGAGAGACCTTAAGCTTTCCTCCATCTAAGCAGGCAATTCCATTCAGCAGTGCTTACTGACAGTATAGGGTGGTCACATTCCTGGATCACACTCCTTTCTCATTTCAGTACTATTAGAGATAAGGAAACCAAAAAAATTTACTTTTGGAAGCACTAAAATCCCAACAATAGTGGCCACTCGAATGCTAAAAGCCACTTAGATAGCAAGGCTATAAAATGATCAGTAAGATTTGCTAACTGAACTGAACTCTGTGTATACCTCCATTCTGGGATTGGTCCCTATGCTAGGTTTTATTTTTTTAGATAATATTTTTATTTGGGGACCACACCTGGCACTTCTTAGGGGTCACTCTTTCACACTTAGTCAACATTTGGGATGCCAGGGATGGCGATCAAGTTGACAAAGTCCAGTGCAATGTCCTGTTCCCACCTGATCCATACTTTGCCTTTGAAAATGTGTGTTTCTGAAGCCTCACCGTGTAACATTCCTTGTAGGTAGGTGTCCACTGCTTGTGTGTTATCAGAGGGTAGAGCGTTGAACCTATAGTGTTCTAGATACTCTTATTCCAGTTTCTCTCCAACTCTCTGGTGGCTGCTCTCAGGGTTGTTCTGTTCCTCTCCAGGGCTGGATTCAGAGTCACTGTTTTCACTCCCATCTGGATTATTGCTTCTCTGAAAATCTCACTGTTCCCCCCTGCTACCTATCTGCAAGTTAGTGAAACAACCTGCTTCATTTTTCTTGATGGACACGTGCGTGAGTGCATTGGTTTGATGTTTGACTGACCACTGCAGGATCATGGCACTTCTTACTCCCCAGAGTCCCATGGCGTGACTGGCCTCCCCAGCAGTTGCCTCCCCCTCCTTTATGTGAGCCCTGCCCCTTGCAGCACAGGATCCCCTGGGTGTCCAGAAAGGATCTCTCCGCAACTGGAGCCTGGCCCTTTAAGGCTGCAGGTGGAAACAGAAGTGATGTCACAGACAGGGCCTTCCTGGTACCTGTGTTCTTGCTGACAGAGATGGTTCAGTCAGTCCCACTATTGTAACATGGGTGTAGGATGGCATGGAAGTGGCTGGAAGCGGTTCTTGAAGGCCGATTTTGGGGCAGGACGGGGGCGACTCTCCGTCTCTGCACTGTGAGCGACGCGCTAGCGTGGGGGACGCTTTCCCGCTGGTTTCTCACTTGTTCCTTGACATCCAGGTGTTCCTGAGGCGTGGCGGAGGCTTTAGGGGGACGTGGCGGTTTGGGGGGCGTGGTGGGGGCTGTACTGGGGCGCAATGTTGCGGGTGTGAGTGTGTGGTCTTGGGGGTCCACTGAGGCCACGATGGCCTCTAGCTCCATGATGGGGCAGTGGCGGGTGGGCGGGTGGGGGGAGGGACTGAGCTTGGGACT